GGTGATAAAAAAAAAAAAAAATTGGCAATTTCGTAAAAGCCATTTTTCTGCTGCGATTGAACCGCCAACATTGATCCGGTCTCCTTGTCGTCAACCGCGATGACCACGTCTAGGATCGCTTTACAATTCCAGCCGCAAGATGGAAGGGAACGTTTGTTTCCTCTACCCCAATATGTTACCTTTTTGTTGAGCTTCAGCCACGTGGAGAACCCCTTCGTGTCCTGGTACTGCAACCCGAAAAACCAGACTTCTCGGAGGCCGATGGTTTTCACCACCTGCAGACAAGGGAGGGGGGGAGAGGTATAATAATATTAATACACTATTAAAAATAATAAAAATACAAAAAATTAAAGTGTATATCTTTTTTTTAATTGAATATTTGATGTTATATCATTATTATTAATAAAAAATATGATCATAATTCTTTTTTTTTCCTACTGTGGTGCAGGAGCCTTTTCCATTCCTGCGTAAATTGATGGCACTATATAAATACCTCTAAAAAATAAAGAATGGTGCCCCCTTCCACCGCCAGGCCCCATGGCGGCCACCTGGGCTGGTGCGGCTGCTATGCCACTGTGCAGATGTCTTTCATTCCCTCTCTGGAAGGCATCTACTCTCCCCTCTCCAGTTACATTAGATGTATACCCCAACTCAGAAGTAGGTGTGCTTGGTTGTCTGTTGAACTACAAGTCCCATGAGGCATTGCAACACTGACAGCCACAGGACATGACTCCCAGAGGCATGATGGAATTTGTAGTTTCACCATAGCTGGAGAGCTGAGGTTGCCTGTTCACAATGGACGGCATTCACTTTGTTAGAAATGTGTATTATCCAACCATTGCCATGTTTTCACTCAAATTCCTGTTTTCACCCCCCAACCCCCCCTCCATCATATTGTATATCTCAGTACTGCTGATCTCCTCCAGACTTATTCAGCTACTTCCCATCTATAGGCGGCTCACTCACTCCCCTGCATTGCTTTGGATGGGTTTCCTGATGGGGCCCCCGCCTGCTCAATGTGTGTTGTAGTCTCCATCAGGAGCCACGACTGTGCGCGCAATATCCCAAGCCGAGGATTTTCTGGCATCATTTTTAGTTTGCATTGAACTCTTGCCAAATGCAACGCGAAGAAACCGGCAAACCGCAGATTGCGCCGTTATCAGTGTCAGCTGTCACCATACAAACGCCGGGAGCCGAGGCCCAACATCCAGACCGCTGGGCACACGCACAGGATTCCACATCCCAAAAGAGAACCTTCTACAATGGCGCGGTGTTGCGACATCTTAACGTGTTTTAGGTTCTGCAGGTTGCAGAAGACTTTGCAGCCAATGGTCAACGCCACTGCCATGGTCAACGCCACTGCCATGGTCAACGGCCAACAGTCAACTTCCTCCCAATGCAAAGTGTTTATAATTATTAGTTATATGTGGCAGAAGGTTTTTTTTTAACCTGTTGATCCTGCCAACAAGCGGTTATTTTTCAACTTCCTGTAAAAGGGTGATGGCGCCGCTTGTTCTGAAGTGAAATTGCGCAGCAGTGTTGCCACCTTGTGGACAGTGTAGTCTTTAGATGTCTACAGTCTAAAGCATTTACAGCAACAGGGTTTTATTTATTTTTGGGAAATCCCTTTAAA